ACCTATACGGCGCTACCCTTGCTAGCGCTACTATAATCTACCAAATCTAACGCCAAATCTAACCCCTTCTAGCAAAGCCGATAGTCTAATCCATTATAGTCGACTTCCGAAGATCGCTCGTGTGTCGTTTAGGTCGTATCGTTAGCAATAGTCTTCGAGGAGCTAATAGCGGTTAAGGAGCTAATGTCTAAAGAGCTAAAGGTCTAATGTTCTTCGAGTATCTGCGAGTCTGTAAGCAGATGTGTTATTAAAGCATATTAGTTAAGCATACCTAAACAGCAAGAGTTAAGAGCTAGAAGATAGTAGCACTAGAAATAGTTAGTATAATATAACGAAGAAAGAGCTGCTTGTTAATAGACTTATAATACTGTCTAAGAAGTCGACGTAAGTGTTCTGCTCTTAGTTAGCGCTCTATATACGACTAGCAAAGCTCGCATACATACCCTAAAGGAACTGAATGTCCCAATCTATATATAGAAGCTCCGTGCTAGCAGGCATGTTGTCGATCGAAACACGCTTTATCTATAGGCCCTTATTAATGCGCTCGAATAGCACTATCTAGACCCGCTTGCCGCTAATGCTAGGCAAGCCGACAACAATCTTCTTGTTGCTAGCATCGAGGCGGTAGACAGGCAGCTAAGTAACAGGATCTAGGGCTGCGGATTTAGTCGTTAATTGAATGCGAATAAAGAGCATACGATCGGCGATAGCAGAGGCCTATTAAATAGTTAGCTAGCATAATAGACGATAGTATTCGAGCATACCTTGTACGAGAAGATCTCGTCGATGAGTCTAATCTCTCTACTACGATAACCTACGAAATCTCCTCGCTTTAGAACGATACGCTTCTTAGCCGTACTATTAAATGCGAGTCGCTTGTACTAGAAGATCGACTCCTTGTTAGTAGTATTAACATTAGGTCGACTATATTCCTACTAATAGGCTTACTTTAAGCTAGCACGTATCGGTATAAGCTTCTCGCTATCGTTACGAATTGGCAATAGCAGCAATTGGTCGCACTAATACTAAACAAGCCGCTTGCTAGTCTGTACGTTTGCATAATTAATATCGCCGGTAAACTGCTCCTTAAGCTCGGTCTAGTCTGCTTAAGCTTTCTCCTATTCGCTTCGTAGCAGTAGGCTCTTAAAGAGGCGTAGGTTCTGCTAGTACAGGGTCTTAATCTGCTAGGCGAGGTATTTGTTATTATCGTCGGTATCTCCGTTAAAGCCTCCCTAGACTAGCAGCCGAACGGTTATCTCAATGCTATATATATAAAGTAAGTTATACTCTAGGTTGTAGAAGTTAGTATTATAGACCTTCTACTTTATTACCTTATGCTTAGCCTCGCCGCCGAACACGTTGACGTTAATAGCAGCTCCGTACTTATCGATTACATCATTCTAGTAAGCGCTAATGTGCACATTCGGACGCTTTGCTATTAGCCGGTGCTTGTGCTTTAGATCGATAGATACGGTCTCTGTCCGCGACGGATTATTAGCTATAGCTTAAACCTACGAAGCAGAAGGAGCTAGTTGCGACTATAATACAGCACGAGCCTATTAAGAGGCAGAGCGGCTAGCTCGGGTTGTTAGCTTCTTTATATTTACAGTTACAGTACACTCTATTAGGCCCTAGAAGAGCTAACGGGCAACTAGCATCTCCTAACGCAGATCGAGCCGCTGCTGCTTTATAAGCTAAGTAGAAAGAAGAAGCATATTAGATCGCGCGATCGCCGATAAGATCCGTACGAGAACCGTAGAAGCTGAAATATCGCTCGCTATAGCAACTAGACTCTGCTTTACAAGTTGCTATTGAAGGTGTTTAAACACTTATACGACTTGAGGCTCATCCCGCATAGCTTTTACGAAGTTGGGTTGTATGTATTTATCCTTAAGCTAGAGACGTAGAAGTAGCGGAGCAATAATAGACCAACGGGCGTGCTCGGATAGGCTAAAGGTTAGGAGATAATAAAGTAGCGATCTTAAGTAACCCTATCCTAGCGGGAATGGAAACTTCTTTAGTGCTTTCGCGTAGTCGAGCTATGCCGTAGGCGTAAGAACTTCGGTAATTAGGACATTATAGATTATACTAGTAATGCTATTAAGCTTAGAATAGGCCGGATCCGCTAGTCGGGTCTTATAGACATCGAGTGCTAGAGAGATCTTCGTAAGAGCCGGGCCTTTAGCAGCTATACTAAATGAACGACCAAATTCCTAACGAGCACTGTTAGAAGTTAAGGCGTCTATAAATTGCCGGATACGCTGTGTTTCGTAATGATATTTCATCTCTTAACCTAAGTTAAGCTAGCCGCGGTCTTGTTCTGTAGCGTAGTACATTCGACAACCTATATTAGCGGATTGTTGTAGCATACCACTATTACTCTGCTACTATAGTATATCTCTAGTATACAGCAATGTAAACGCGTAGACTATTGCTTGCTTGCTATTTAGAAGGCTGAGTACTTAGCCTTCGTTAAGTGCGCGAAGTAATAGACCGATTGCGTTAATAATATCGTTTATGTTGCTACCGTGCGGACTAAGCGTAAAGGGAATAATGTTCGAAATCCGATTACGCTCTTCACTTAGCAGACTAGCAGGCATAAAGTAGACACCTATTAGAGAGCGCTATATATTACGATAGAGACTAAAGCTATCGATGAAATTAAGAAGAGGCAGAGACACGATATCCTATCTAGGCTTATCGAACTTCTATAACAGCGCAACGCGACCGAATACTATAATTTCTAGCTCGCTACGAATAGGATGTAACTTGAATATTAGCCGCAATTCCGATTGATAATTAACGATACGCCGAATAATGAAGTCGTGCTTGTCGGCGAGAGGTATAGAGCTAATCCTACTCTTAAAGGAGTAATATATAGCAATTGTGCTACGGCTAAACGGCGCTAGATCAGAAGGTAGAAGATAGTAGTCCAATTCGTTAGTTATAAAGAGCTCGTTGTTCTGCACCTTAGTAACAATTAACTAGCGGAGGTCCTCTAGCAATTAGCTATATAGAATAATAGATCGGACCTTAACAACAATACTATCGGTCGGGCCTAGGTGGCTATTAGCACTACCTCGTTAAGAACGCTTATCGATACTAACGGCAAGTACGCGGCTAATGTACTTACTGCTAGTAGATACACAATTGTAGGAGTCGCTATAGCAGCTGAATTCGATAAAGTCTCTAGGGAAAATGGGGCCTCTAGCTAAGCCGATGAATTGCTTCTAGTCCGTTAGTAGCGATAGCATTAGTTCTAGTGCATTAGTGCCTATAGTACGCTTGCCTTAACTCCTGCTGTCCTTCTTTAGGACTTTTGCTTAGTATAGTAGAGGCGTACTAGTAGCTAGTCTATTGAGGTATACTAACGAAGAGTTATTTAGAGTGTCGCTAGGATAACGAGCGAAATAACCGGAAGTAGCCCGTATTGAGCTCGCCTAAGCTATAGACTGCTATAAGTGCTTAGGCACGTTAACAAAATGTACTATACCTTAGAAGATATTCTAAGAAGCGCTAGATACAAGCATCCGAGCGAACAGTTACTATAGGTCGAAGAAGAATAGCGGCTGCTAACTCTTAGCTCTATCGGATAACTTCTAACTAGCGGCAATTGTTAGTTGCTTCTTCTCTTCGAGTGCGACATTCTTATAACGAAGGTCTAGCAAGGGAAGTACTAAGCGAAGATAGAGCTTTAGAGTATCGACAGTGTTAGGCAAGTCCTTTAAATCCGTGTCGGTCGTAGACGCAAAGATAGTACGCAGTATTAAGTAGTCTGCTCGTAAGATACTAGTCTCCTAGATCTATAGTGCGAATACTAGTTTAGTCTTAGTAATGCGGCGGGCCTTACAGTCCTTCTTCTGATTTATAATTGCTAAAGTATCGACGCTAAATAGACCGACACTCGATATAGTAGTCTAAGTTAGAGGTAGCATTAGGCTAGCTAGCGGCGTAATCTCTTCGGCTTTATCGTAGTCGGCTCCTATAGCAATAGTATCGCTACTAAAGAAGTCGTCGTTATTATTATCATCTCCGAGGCTAGCATCTTAATAGTCTGCTAACTAGAGCTTGTCGGTATAGTCGAGCTGATCTTCGCCGCTATTAGGCTAGACTTGCAAATTAGCCAACTCGAGGGTTAGCTCTGCGGGCTTTATATCGATAACAGGCATCTCCGTAGGCACAATATCGATGTCGCCGCCGTTAGCGCCCTCGATCGTCTATATAACATCTTCGGTATCTAGAATTAGGTCGTCGTTATCGTCTATGCTAGTGCTAAAGACATCGCCGAGATTATTAGTATCGTCCTCGCGGGTGCGCTTAGTACTATAGGCGGACTCAAGTTGCCTATCGGATAGACTAGCCTTAGCTAAGGTCGTTAGCGCCGCTAGCTGTTATTGTTCTAGCTGTTTAGGCTTAGGTATGTTCGCCGGGTCTAGCTATCCTAGGTAGCGGTACGATATTGTGTGTCGCTATCGAGTCGCTTAAAGCTGTACTTAATACTATAAGTACTTTGTGTGTTTTAGGTGTTCTTGTTCGGAGTGTTATTAGTATAGGTATAGAAGTAGAATCCGGAAGTGCGAGTGTTTGTAGGCAGGTAGGCGCTTATAGCAAGGTAGGCGTAGGTACCCGTATACGCGCTACGCGACAAACACTGCATATACACGCGTTCTTTATGTAGCAGCGTAAGTGAATTGAGTGTAGAGCCGTAATTTAGACCTCCTATACACTTTGCGGCGCTGTATAGCGGTTAGGCTAGGTTGTTCTCGTAGTGTATCTATCTTTCGACTCGATATCGCTACGTAGGTCTTAACAGCAATAGAAGTCTTTCTGTATTCAGTTAGCGAGGTATAAGACTAGATCCTAGTCATTAGTCTAAGAAGTTATACATTAATAATAATATATATAAAAATATCAAGCAGTAAAGCAGTAAAGCAAGCAAGCAAGCAGCGCCTATAGCGCAGACTAGCGCAGATAATAGTATAAATATAAAAATAAAGAAACTACTCCTCGTCGCTCTCGAAGTTAAAGCCGTCCTCGTCGGCGTCCGCGAGGGCCTTAGCGATATCTTTAGTCTATACGAATATAATTAGCAGCATGCTTAGACTTCCAGCTACGATACAACCTTTAATAGATTGTATTACTCTACGCACCTTTCGACCGCGATTGCCGACCTGCTTTGTCGGAGGGATACTATAGATATAGATTAGTACTGCTATTACACAACAACGATCTATAGTATAGTATACGTGAACTCGAAGTGCTCGCGGGTGAGCGTATCCTACTCTTTTATTATTCTATATATGTATATTAGCATAGGAGCATTACGAGCAGCATAAGCAGTATAAGTTTCAGTGTTAAAGGTCGATTAGATCGATGTTTGGTATAGACATCCAGTCGTACGGAGGTCTTAGAGGTGCTAAGAGTGCTAGATATTCAAGATTAGATTGAAGGATAGACTTACGGCCACGCGTCGTACTTCTAGAGCATCTTAGTATGCGTAGTCTCGTACGTCTATAATATACATTAGCATCCTAAGCATTACAGATACAACGCCTTTACGATACTAACCTCCTTAAGAGCTCTGTCTGCCTTAATATAGACAATAGTTATAGCCATTAAGCGAGAATAGAGCCCTATAAATGATTAGTATACTATATGCGAGCAACAATTAGAGCGAGCATAGTATAGCATATTATATTATATAGGTGCAGTACTTCTTGCCTCGAGACTTCGAGGACTTATAGTCTAGGTAGTCCTTCAAGTAGTAGTATCTGCGATATATATTAGTATACCTATGCCGAACAGCGCAAGATAAAACACTAACACAGTAAAGAACTTATCCTCGTAGAAGTTCTTTATAAAGAAGTCTTAAACTTAACTATTTTGTATAGTTAGGAGCGAGGGAGTCTCCTTTACCTCTAGCTCAGCCTAATCCTATTAAATTGTTAGTATATGCTAATAGCAAAAGCATAGCTCTTCGGTAGGTGAATGTTCGAGTATTGTAGGGTTAAAGTAGATATAGAATGGCAAAATTATAAGCATTATGAATAAACTATGAGTATTACAAATGAACCATCAAGATCAGAATAACCTAGGAAGATTAAAATGACCTATTAGGTGGCTCAAAATCATAAGATTCTAGATCAAACATAAACCATCTTGAAACTCTAAGACCTAGAGCAAAAAGAGGGTAGAGTAGGGCAAAAAGAATAGGCATATAGTAAATGAATGATAACTTACTCGTGCTCTTATAGTGACCTTGTTTTTAAAGGTTCGCATATCGAGAAATTTGTTCCGTGCCTATATATAGTGTAGTATAGTAGTAGAAAACTCGGGGCCGTAAACTCGTATAATTACATCGTGTTTAAATTTATATAAAGCATAAAGGAAGTGTATAACATTTCGCTCGTAATACAGTTTTGCTATGTTCTCCGTATCTTGTTTATAGATAGTCTTTTTATTCGAAGAGGGTTTAGGATAGGACTAGGGTGAAACGCGCTTTACGATATTCTTAGGATTAGCTAGCTAACGAAGCTAAGCTCGTAGAGTCTATTATATGTTAGTATACAATGCAGTACTAAACCACTATACTATATGCCTATTTGATAAAAGAGACTAGTATTCTATATCATTTGTACTGTGTAGTAGTGCTACTAAAGGACATAGTTATATTTGCTATGCTCCTAGTAGTAGTATTGAAATAGCTGCATCTAGAAGTCCTAGAAATCGTGCTTCGTAATCGGCTTTACTATATACTATATGCTTTGAGCTTCGGCTTTATATTTCGCTTGTTATATGCTTTAGGCTTTAGGCTTTAGGCTTTATAATCCAATGCTATATACTATATTGTCTTTCATGCTTCATGCTTTAGGTTGCTGTTAATGTTATAGTCTTTATACTCAAGTTATATAGTTGCTAATTAGGCTAGTAAATGAGAATGCTAAGATATTAATATAGGCGCTGCTATTGAACATGTGCTAACAAACGAAAGCGCTACTAAGCATACTAACAATTGCTAAATGATTGCTAAGGAAGCTGTTAAATATAATACATGCTAACAAGATCTTGCTACTATTGAAGCCTTATAAGATATATAATTGAAGCTGTCGAAGTTGAAGTCGAAGCATTTAGTAAAGCAGATGTTAAAGCAGATGTTGATAGAGTAATAGATCGCATAAATAAATGGCAGTATATATCGTAAGAAGATCAATCCACCTCTTACTGTCTTTCTAGGCTTAAGAGAGTATAAAACATAAGGAAATAGGGGTATTAGTTCTCGGATATTATACAACATACGAGGTTAGTTAGTATAGGCATATTAGTGCGTTAAAGGTCTCGAAAGCGATTGCGATTGCTATATAAAATTGACTTTGCTAGCAGCAACGGCGGCGACAGTAAGTAAATAAATAGGTAGGGAGCAAATAATAGAGGAACATTCGGTAAAGTGTATATACGGAGGCACCTCCGCGGAGTTTAAGCGCTTCTATTAGCGGAACGCTTCCTAGCCCTAAGGAACGGTTCGCATACTAGAACTGTTCGCACACACAACAATATATCGCTAAGAACAGTACTAACATCGTTCAGATTGATATGCTATACTGAAATCGACTCGTTCTAAACCGTATACAATTTATCCTATAAGAACAGTGCTATTACAGCTCTTTTAGAGACAACTGTAACGCTACGGTTCCGACAGACCCTATACCCGCGCTAAGGAATTCTAGTACCTAAGGCAGGAACTTTAGCCCCTATAGTTACAACTTTAACCTATACTATATCGACAACTTTTAGTTTAGCCGCTTACCCTATCGCAGCCCGTAGCGTTCTTAGCGTTTAGAGAGGTTTAACCCGACAGATATCGGGTATTTCTACCCTAACGCTCTATACGCGGACTTAGATAGCTAGGACATCTATACGTACGGCAATAAGGTTACCTTTACCTTAGTATACCTGTTTTTAGACGCAGCTTGCGATTACGCGGCAGTTAATTACGCTCGTATAGTACGTACCTAGCTTACTAAGTGCCTACGTAGGGCCGTATAGTAATAGTTTATTTATAAGCTAACGAGTAATAACCGCGATACTATTCGCGGAGGAGAGGGCATTAAGCGCTAGTATAAGGTACTAAGGGACAAGTTTAGCAGATCTATTATCGAGGCGTAGGACAAGCTATACGCCGAATCGTATATAGTATAGAACGTACGCAACCGCAGAGCACCCTAGTAGTTTATTATAAACTGTATCTGCTACGTACGCGAGGCAGGTCTCGAGACAGACCCTAATAGGCCGTACGCTCTTCTCTACTAGGCATAGTTGCGATTCGAGCCTCGCCTATAAGACAAGCTCGATAAGCCTTTACTAAGTAATACGATTTATACTTTTACGCGAGCCGTAGAAGACAAGTATAAAGCATAGTACCGTAGGTATATACAGTCCGACAGCTACGGTATAGTACGAGGCTATAATAGGTATAATAGTAAGTTACAATACCGAAACGCTCGCAATAGCGACTAGTACGCCGATTCTTCGGGCGCGTATCGCGATACTTTAGGTCGTAGTTACGCTAGTAGGTTCGACAATCGGTACGCCGTAGTAGTACGCAGATATCGCGACAATTTAGGTCGCGGTTACGCTAGCGGCTACGGCAATAAGCGCCCTAGAAATAGTAGCTATACTAATTAAAACTAGTATTAGCGCTAGGATTAAGGAAACGATAGGCAAGCCCTAGCGGAAGAGGGACGCTAAAAAGAGTACGCTTCTAACCGTAACAATCGAGTAGAGCTACGTAACAATAATCGGGGCTACGAAGCACGCGGTAGTAAGAATGCTAATCGTAGACAACGATAAGATAGGGGTACGCGAAACGACGTATACGATACCTAGGGTTAGCAAGAACGCAGCCGCTAAGGCAATAAGGCCCTACGCAACTATTACGCTAATAAGCAGGTACTAGAGCCTCTAGTCGAAGAGCCTATATCTATCCTATAGCTACGTTTATACTTACGCCTACGATCTAGCTTACGCTACTCGAGGAGGCTAGTAAGCCCGTACTCCGTACTAGCGTACTTTAACGACTAGATAGATATCTACTATAGTTTAGACGACGGGGATAATAACGCCTCTTTATAGGACTCTATATTAGTATACTATAGCGAAGTTCCGCTACTATCGCCCTTTTTCCTATACGTCGGCAAGCACCTTCCCCTAGCTATAGAACCCTTCGCTACGACACGGCCTTTAAAGTTCTTATACTTAAATTGCAACGCGAAGTTCGATAGCAACAATCTCTTATAGGACTATAGGCGCACTAAGTACGCTACGGAGCTAACGCCTAAGAAGGATAGCGTAGAGGGGAACGCTAGGCTTATCGAGTCCGCTATATTACTAAAGGTTAAAGGAAAATACGCGTTTCGAGGCTATTATTATCTACGTATAGTTATGCGCCTATAGAAGGATAGTATAGAATACGCGGTCTGCCTAGATATAGGCGCTACTATGTCTCTTATCGACGAGGCCTTTCTACGCTAGACGCGCCTAGACATCGAGTATAAGCGTCTAGTCGCCCTACTAAAGGTTAAAGGCGTAGGATTAACGGACATTAGTAAGTACGTAGATCTCGATTTTTAGGTACTAGGAATCGTTAAGGGCTCTAAGGTTATCGCCTATATACGTTATAAGGTATACGTCGTTAAGGAGCTTAGCGCTAAGTTCCTTATAGCGATAGATATTATCGGCCTAGAGGGTATTAAGATTAATATACTATACCGTACCGCAACGGTTAATTCCTATAAAAAGGCGAAAATCCCCCTACTAGTAGGCTATAAAGATTAGGTTAAGTTCTATACGGTTATATACTCGGGCGATAAGAACGTCGTTCTAGCACCGTAGGCTATAACTTTAGTGCCCGTCTAGTTTAGAACGCACCTCCCTTCGGACTAAGACGTAGCGTTCTACCCGTAGAACTAGGAACTTAAGAACAAGGCCCTAACTATCTACGCCGTAGTAGTAGACGCTGCGGTGAATTTCGTATAGGTCCGTAACGATACCGATTAGCTATAGACGCTACTGCGATATACTAAAATAGGATATATACGCGAGTGCGACTACTATAGCTGCTACTATATAGCGCCCGAAGAGTACGCCGTAGCCGGCCTTCCGCTACCGGACCTACCGAACCCCGTAAAGGAGAGGCAGCTTTTTAATAGAGTAATAGCGTATAGCACTAAGGAGCAGGTATAACGTATCGAGGCTATAGTAAAGAAGCACGAAGACCTATAGAGAGACAAGGGTACTACCGTAGACATCCCTAAGTCCGATTTCCTAAAGGTTACGCTAAAGCTAGGCTACGAAAACGATAAAGTCCCTACGGTAGCGTACCTACTCTACGGCCCCGATAAAGAGGTCGTAAACAAGACCTTCGACCCTCTATATACATAAGGAAAGATGTCCTTTACTACTAAGCCTACTTAGTTCGGGTTCCTAGTCTTCGTAGTCTAGAAGACGACTATAGTAGATAGTAAGCTAGTCCGTAAGGGACGTGCGGTCGTAGACATTAGAGGCCTAAACAAAATTACAGTTAAAGATTTATATCCGCTCCCTAGATAAGAGGACATTATTAAGGCACTACGCGGCTCGACTTATATTATAATAGTAGACGTAGTATTATTTTTCTACTAATAGGCCGTAGCCGAAAAGGACCGTAGCAAGTTCGCTATAAATAGCTACCGCGGCTAGGAACAGATGTACGTAGCTATTATAGGTTTCTCTAATAGCGTATAATATGTCTAGCGCTAGCTTAATAAGATCCTTAAGCGCTATAAGTCCTATTATCGCGCTTATATCGACGATATCGTTATCTATTCCCGTATCTTCGAAAAGCACCTATAGTATCTAGACGCCGTTTTTAAGTGCTTAGCAGGCAAGAACATAAGTATCGCACCGTATAAGTTATTCCTCGTATACCTATCTACGAAGCTTTTAGGCTAACGAGTGTTAGGACTAGGATACACTACTTATAAGGAAAAGGTCTAGGCTATCCTAGACTTGAAATTCCCTATAACGCTAAAGGATATCGAATTTTATTTAGGACTAACTAGCTAGCAACGCTAGCATATTCTATACTACTCTACGATTACGATGCTATTCGAGAACCGCAAGAAGGAGCTCTTACGCTTTAGCCTAGCTAACAAAGGAAATAAGCGCAAACGCTACGCTATAAGGACCCTAGCTTTCGACTCCGATAAATCGCTAGAAACCGAGTATAAGGCCTTCGACATCCTTAGACAGATGTACCGTAATATTAAGTTCTCCTATTACGCGGACTCTAATCGCCCTATATATATCGACCTAGATGCCTATATAGGAGGATTCGTAGCGGTAGTATACTACGTTAAGGGAGATCTAGAGCCGACTATCGAGAATAGCAAGGCCGTACGCTTCCCGGCAGATTAGGTACAAGTTATTATATACCTTAGCAAAGCTCTTACGGACGTAGAAAAGCAGTACCTAGCTACCGAGCTTAAGGTTAGCAGACTAGTCTAGATAGTATAGAAGGTACGAATAATCCTATAGGCGGTACGCAAGCCGGTATATATATTTTCCGACTATATTACGGCCCTAGGCATTACTACGGTAGCGAGCCTAGCGACGACTACGTCTACGGAC